TCATTTGAATCAGGTGTGTTGCAACAGGGAGACTTGGAAAACATGCAGGACAGCGGCCCTCCAGGACCTGAGTTTGACACCCCTGACATAGACATTTATGGATAACCATAAAACCAGAAATAGAATTAATATTAGAGAAGGGATTAGCTGCTAATAGCAAACAGTATTGGCTACAAACTCGCATGAAAATGACCACAGTAGCTTGTTAGCAACATTTCGGCTGCGCTAAAAATGGGTACTACCGGTATTTTCTATCTGCAACCAACAATGTGATGTGGCAGTTCCTCAAACAGGACATGCCAACATATCTCAAAAAAACCTTAACCGATACATAGGGAGGCAGAAAAAAATATACTGGAAATCTATTTTAGAATCCATCCATCCATTTTCTCAACCACTTATCCTCACAAGGTTCGCGGGTGTGCTGGAACCTATGCAAAATATCAAATAAGATGCTGGAGGAGTTTAAATTGGGGTGACACAGCATCCCTATTCAGTGGTGGAGCGCCATCTCTGCTGCCGACTGACTATCATGTATGAACATACCGGTACATCAACCAACACTGCCTTTAAAACTGCAGTGAGTAACAGTAATGCATTCCTGTTCCCTCTCCATCTGTTGGCTGTCTTCAAAGGGCAACTTTGTGCTATTATTTCACACTGGTTAACTTTAACAACCCATGTGCTGCAGTCGATGTAAATAAGTTTATATAACGCAACATACAATTTTACAAAAATTGTAAAAGTATTATTCCTGAACATTTATTTTACTTTCAACCACTCGACATGTTCAGTGGCATCAGTGCTATACATACACATATAGTTCTTATTTTTTTCTTTGTTTTTTTGCCCTCTATGGACAATAAAAGCGGTATTGTGCTATGACCAAAACATAAATATAAATCTATATAAATAAAACATGAATTGGAACATTTCATATCACACAATTTTTATGCTTTGTCTTTGATTTAAAGATGACAATACGCAAAAATCTACAAAAATTGTAGAAATTGTAACACATGGGATATTATTTAAAGTTTATACTTGCAATGTGTACTTCAGGGGTGCCCGTTAGCTCGCGGACTGGTCCCAAGTCGATTGCGGGGGGGTGACGAGGAGGGAAAAAAAAAGCAAACATTTGTGTGTCTCGGTGCATGTCAGTAATATATTTTTTGTGTTAATGCACACTGCACCCTAATCATCTCATCAGTCTCGCTTTCACAAAAACTATTTAAAAAACTAAAATAAAATAAAGCAGGTCATCTTTAACCTACGGTGGCGCATGATCTGCGTCACGGAAGTTGTTGGCGTTCAGCTGTCTGCAATTGCAGCTTGTCAACAGCGCTGTTGCGCTTTATCTTTTATCGTTATAATTATTCTCATTCAGAGTTTGTTTCATGGACAATTCACCGATGGCACGGGCAAAGAATGAGATTCTGGAGGGCCAAGAGAAGCATTTAAAAACGGAACGCGTGAGCTACGCTAGTTAACAGGCTGTTGCTCATCATGGCATGCGTGTGGATGTGCGTGCATGTGTGGGGTAACGGGGCGATCGTGGGAAGTTGGGCGATCGCAAAGTAGATCTTCGCTCAAAAAAGTTTGGGCACCCCTGGTGACTTTAATGACATTTTCATAATGGTGAGGGTTTGAGCCGCGACAATGGTAAATCTATCCCACACATATCAAAATTACATTGGTGGAATATGTAATGTGAGAGAGCGCTTGAACTGAATGTCAAGTCGTTTGTGTGTGTGTGTGTGTGTGTGTGTGTGTGTGTGTGTGTGTGTGTGTGTGTGTGTGTGTGTGTGTGTGTGTGTGTGTGTGTGCGCGTGTGCAGGGCTGATCCTTTTGTGCCTTGTAATGTTGAACCCTCCATTCTCACATTCCAAATGGACTTTTGCAGCATGCAGCGCACTTTGGAGGAAAAAAAATAAAACAACAGCAAGTGAAGGGTAATGAAGTAATCAGACAGATGTTATGATTATATAAGGATGCGTCTCATACAGTGTAAAAAGACGCTTGAGAAGCAGAGCTGTGTGAAATATAAACATGAACTATTCATGGGCCACATGCACACTTGGTAGGCACACAGCACATGGAGGACAGTGTCCCAATCGTCTTTTATTCTATTTATTTCACGCGAACTCCCCTGACTGACTTATCAGCTACGACACGGTGACGCAGATGTGAGGATGGTGACGGCTGACGACCTACTGCTTTGCGGCAGTCCACATGAAGAAAAGGTGGCTCAACTCCATTTTGGAGGGTGGGAGGTGCACCTCCAAAAAAGATGATGAAATATGATTTTTGATACATGGGGTACAAAACGATTCAAGGCGCGTTTGACTTGAAAGTGAAATGATTCAATTTGGATCGACTCATTGGAATTACGATTCGTTTCGATATGGTATGACTCAATTCGAGAGGGCACGATGCAATGACTTTTTTATTATTTTACATGCATTTAAATGAACTTGCCAGTGCCGTAAATGTGCCATTTCATTCTAAAATATATCCCTCCAATAAAAAACAAAACAAAACTATTTGATAAGTATCTTGGGATATTTCGAAGTGGAATGATTCGGTTCAGTTCAATTCATTGCACTCACATCTTTTAAATCAAAAATCGATTTTCCAGTTGAAATCGTTTTTTATTACACCCCTGAATGCTTTGTTTGTATTAGTTTTGTAAAATATGCCGATCGTAAAACAATTGCCATGGCACAGCCAGGGACGTGGCTAGAATATTTTCAGTGGGGTGGCCAAGGTGACACAACACCTCGGTGAGGATTGGTCGTGCATGTGTCTGTCATCCTTTATCATCCTATCCACAGTCAGGGTTTCATGAAATAAAATTCACACATCCCGAAAAATGCCCATCACACTTATAATCAAACTGGAATAACTATGTAAAAAAGGACATTTTACTGAGCTTAATTTACTAGGTAGCAGAGTGATATCGTGATATTAATATTGCCACGATACTGTCGTTGTCATGTTACGGCATTAAAAGCACTACATCTTTGTCAAAAAACATTATTTTCGCCCGATTCAGCCGAGGACAGCAACACATGACACTAAAACTGCTGTGAATTGGGAATTTCTCCATTGCGAGACTAATAAAGTTTTCATATCTTATCTTATCTTAATATGACAGGGCTAGCCTATTCTTTGTCACTGCTGTGATCAGGTATACAAACCCAACATTATGCTTTGTTTTTCAGTATCATGAGCTTGTTTCTTTTTCAATATCATGAGCTTTATAGTCTTGTGACCTTTTTTACATTGCCGACCTCCACAATATTGTGAGAATCATTGTATTGTGAGGTCCGTATTGTGATAATATTGTATTGTGATATTTGGATATCGTTACATCCCTACTACATAATGCCTTTTTCTTTGAAGTGGCTTTGCTTTTGTGTTCTCTCATCATCGACTGCTATCTCAAAGCACTCATTCGCTCTCTGACAGCCAATCAGAGTGACTCTTGTTTCAGACGGCCAACGCCATTTTGCATACTGCAATCAATGGCTCATTCATAAAAATCATATTTAAAAAGCAAAATGACGGAAACATTTTTTCATTTTTCACAATTCTTAATGTTGCTTTTTACTTGTTTTTTTTCCCTCCTGTTTATATTACGAGTGTGTGCAAGCTTGGGATACGTGTGCATTTTATTTTATGAAACCATGATTGTTGATGGTCTGACAAACAACTAATTCTCGGCCATGTTGTTTGCTTACTATGGTATGAAAGTAATGATTTTGACTGACGTTGACTGTAAGATTTGTATGTTCTTTAGTTAAAACAGAGTTTATTTTAGTTTAGTTTTTAAATATAAAGGTAATATTACAAAAAAAAACTGTGGCAGTGGGTCTATAGCTCCACCCCTGGCAGTCACCCAAACTAGGGGTTGACTACACATATAAAGGATTGCCATCATAAGTAGGTTGTTGGCTGGACTGTTTTCAGAGTGGGGAGGGGGGAAAAAATCACTCTTAAAACATCTCGCAACCCAGGACCATCACTTATGATGATCTTTCAGAGACATCTGATAATCAGGCCTTTCATTTCTTCATCTCAGGGCACATACAGGCCACTGTTAAAAAACAACCGTGAACATGCACAGCCAAGACAAAAGTACCCATGGAAAAAAGTGCATATTCCTGGATCTTGTCCTCAAACTGATATAATGTGATGTCATTGTGCTTCCTCATCTCAAATGTATAGATCACAGTGAGCTTTGAGCGTTTGAAGCCTCATGGTCTAGTCACATGATGTAAAAAAGGGAGTTTTACAGTCTTGTCATCTGATGAAAGCCATCCAAGCAAGATAAGGCCCAACTATTCTGTGGGGTTGTGGGATGATTTCAGTGGATTTATTGAGTAATGGTCTGAACTAAGTGATCAGAAGCACATCCCGAGTTAGTCATATGTATGTGAGTGTATGGCCGGCGGGCTCATCGGCTGCTTTTCAACACAAAATATCACTGCACTCTTCAATGTAAAAATAGTGTACAATTCTTAATTAATTTATCTTCTTCAGAGCATTTTTTTCCCATTCGGGTTTCCTTTCCAAGTACAGTACTGAGCAGGCCTGATCCTGCTTGGCTTCTGCGGTAGGGTTGTAATATGGTTCTATCTATCTATCTATCTATATATAGATAGATAGTATCTATCTATCTATCTATCTATCCATCCATCCATCCATCCATCCATAAGAACACACCTTTCAAACTGAAGCCTTACCTCTTGACCCTGATAATCTGGTCTCTCATGGGTTTGATGTCCTGAAAGCTCTGCTGGTTGACCAGACTGTAGACCAGGATGAAGCCCTGGCCGTTCCTGATGTAAAGGTCCCGCATGGAGGCGAACTGTTCGGTACCGGCCGTGTCGAGGATCTCCAGCACCGACGGGGACGAGTCCACCTCGATCTCCTTTCGGTAGAAGTCTTCGATGGTCGGGTCGTACTTCTCGATGAACGTTCCGGTGACGAACTGCACGGTCAGGGCCGACTTGCCCACCCCGCCGCTGCCTAGCACCACCACCTTGTACTCCCGCATCGCGCCCCGCTTTCACATCCGGCACATCCCGACCTCGCGTTGTGAGCTCACGCCGCGGCCACGACGCAACGAATGCGGTGCGGGCGGAGGAGATGTTGCATTCAGCCTCTACGGAGACGTTCCCACGCTATCTGGAAGGAACCCCCTTCCACGGGCATCCATAATGCAATAGGCAGAAATAAGACTGGCTATAATTAGAACCGAGCCGGCTGCACATCTTGCTAATGTGCTAAAATGGCATTTTTCCTGTCTCTGTGCTCAGCGATGATGAGTGGAAGGAAAAGCAGATGTTTTTTTTTGTCCCCGACAAGACAAAAAAAGTGCAGGGAATCCACGCCTTTTGGATTGCCTGCATCAGGCGGACGTTTCCGGCATGTCACGTTGAAAGAGGGGAGGTGACTCTCAACGGACACTTCATTAGGTACACCCAAGAGACGGAATAATAATAGGCTACTCAATTTTACTTGACACGTTCAGGAAAATACGTGTGTTTATAAACGACGTTTCTCTCATTTTAGCGGTCAAATTATTAGAAATATAGTATGATACAGTACAGGGCACAGAGGCCCTCGACGGTCCCGACATACGGCCTTTCACGTAGTTTCTTGATACCCAAGAACAATCTGCCGTTAACATCTTTTCATTTGACCGTTGCATATTTATGGCCTTGAATTATTTTTTAATCGGATATCGACTGTATGATTTTACAATTGCGTTAGAGTAGGTTAGTTCCGATTTACGGATGGATTTTATCGACGTAAACCGAGGACCATCCCGATATTGTTCAATTACTCTTTGGCACAGTATCACGCTTATTATTAATAGTATTTTGCATTTTATTTCCACTGGCCCATCCTTGCCAAAAAGATCAGTGTATTGGGTGAGAGAAAATACACACACATCTCTCTCTCTCTATATATATACACAGTATTCTACTTAGATATGGCGGTGAATTGATATAACAGAGAACAACGAAAGAGACATTGATTTTCTTTATTTCTTTCTTTCAATAGATTTGCCATTACCTCGTTGGAACCAACGCACATTTGACTATGAAGAACATAAGACCCCCCCCCCCCCAAAAAAAAAGATGACAGCAAAGTCATGAGACGTGTGTTTGTCCTGTTTGGTTGGGCGCACAGCAGCAAGGATGCCAGATCAAGGATGCCTCCCAGTCTCCCGCGTGTCGCCCTCTGTTGGCCAAAACAGCCAATTGTCGCCTCGTCACGCAGGGTCAACAAGTTCCACACATCCTTGACTGTTTACTCCGTTGTCGTCAGTCCTTTTGGCCTCCATTGAATAAACATGGCTTCATATAGCAGTCATTATTCCTTTATTTGAAATGAAATGAAAGTACGAAGGGGGTCAAGAAAAGAACGTCTCTTCAAATAGTTTACCTAAAAAAAAAACCCAGAAAACAATCTGCGCAATGGACTTGAGCTAAGGCAATGAGTTTGAATACGCTGAGTCTGTTCAGGGGACCAGCACTTCAGAAAGTTCTCCCGTTGGCCTTTTAACCATCCACCGTCCATGCTTAGGATACATGTGAAGGGCTTTGTGGGTAACAAAACAAGGACGTCTCAAGTGCAGGTACTGCCTCCCCCCTCAACTACATTCAGTTTAAAACACAACGTCTCCGTGTAACAACATGATCGATTGTTGCACTTAAATCTCTCGTGTAGTTGACAGGAAACAGAGTTTAATCAGTGTGAAAAGTGCAATCCTGAACCCTTGCGTTACACTGAATACAAGTCAGTGTGGGGCCTGAATGTCCTTTGTCAGGCTAAGTCATCAACATTTCATTGACAGGTGTGTACATATTTCTATATTCATATGGTGATTCAGTCTAGTGAGAGTCACAGCGCTACAGCGGCTGTTGTCTTCTAGTGAAAATATTAGTTCACTGTTACAATCTCAGTGAAGAATAAGAAATGTTAATCTTTTTTTTTTTTTTTTTTTTTTACAATCTACCGTGTGTACAGTGTCCTAGGGAAAAAGTAAACTAAACAATGTCTTTTACAAAAATACCAAACTTTAGTTACTGCAACATTTGGTTGCCACAGCAACAACTTAATATTGTTATGAAATACTAGCATACTAGAGTGAAAAGTACATCTTTCCATTTTTTTTCTTTTTTTGGGGGGGTAAAATGTAATCAACACAAAACACATAATTTTGTTCTCCAACAATACAAGCAAGTCTATTTCTACTTCCTCATTCCTGCAACACCGTTCTTTTTTTCTTCTTCCCAGCAAGAAGGCCATGTAGGTCCAGTAGCTTTCAGAAGTCAATGGAAGCTTCCACTTCCACACCACCAACTATGCATGACGTGGCACAGCTCAATAAGTTACATTCAATTCATAATGTGTTTACAACATAGTAACTAACAAGAAGTTGAACATAAGTTAAATTACAGCAAAATATAACCTTTTAAGCCCCAGTCACGAATAAAACACGCACGCTAACAGCGCAATGCTAGAAGACAATCGAGGAGAATGAAACCCAAGGTTGTGGATTGTCGATGGTCATCAAGCACCATGAAATTACATTTGTTTTTGGCTAAAACGAATACAAATGAAATCATGTTTTTAAAAACATCTGACAACAGGAAATATGCCAATTGGTTAAAAAAAAAAAAAAACCACAAGAACATTTCATGATCTTTGACTTGCTTGAAGTGCAGGTGGACTGGGGTCCAAACATACTTTGATAGTACACATAGCACAAACTTGAAATACTATTCTATATTCAGAATATAAACTACATATATACATTAGACGCAAGTTGTTTCCCCTCCTCACTCATATTTCTCTTGTAAACTACTGGTAAGAAAAGATGGTACGTCGTGAGAGCTCGTTGGGACTTCCAGAAAGACACGTGTGATGTCAATGGGCAGTTGGTATTAAAAAAAAAAAAAAAAAAAAAAAAAAGCTCTGCTGCTTGTCTGCGACTGGTCATGATTCTGGTGAGCATGTTTAGGCACTTCTACAGTTTTCTAAAATGAAACAGAATTACGGGCGATGGCGCAGTTAGACGCGTGTAGCCCTCCGAGTTCAAGTCTTGAAATCGTTGCCGACTGCACCGTTGTGTTTAGTTCTTGAAAACCCCACCAAAACACGCTGTTGTTACCAAGTCCGCCGTGCTCCCGTGTCTGCCGGCAGACTATCCGTTCTCATGCGCACACACATACACACAACATGGCTTAGGATGTCTGGGACGAAACCCCATCAAGCCCTTGGCACTGACCCGGAGCCCCGGGCCGACCAGCCCCTCCCAGCCGAATGCTGTTTCAGGAGGCGGCACCTTGACAAATTCACTTGTTGTCGGTGGTGTTCCGAGCAGATTTTGGAGGGTGAGGAGGCAACAAAAACATCTTCTCCGGGTTGGACTTTGGCAAAGTGCTTCCAGGGTTGATACGATGCAGGTCACACTTAAATAGGGCATCAAGGGCAGATGGATCCCTCTGTTCTGAGGAGAGCAGCACTCACGCCCCACCGGACTAAAACACTTTGGGCCGTCAACATGCGTCTGTGTGGTTACTCACAAGGTTTCCGTGAGTGCACCATACATCATAGTGCAAATCAAGCATGTATATAGATATATATAAATATTTTTTTACAAAACAAGGACAGAATTTGCGTGGAATTTTGTCAAAGAAATATGAAAGAAAGGGTTTAAATGACCAGTGTGGTGTGCCTATTTTGTGAGTACGATAATACAAGAACAATATCTTTGACTCTTACGGTCACTCTTTCGAAAAATACATACACCCTAGATAGTGTGTGAGTGTGTGTGTGTGTGTGTGTGTGTGTGTGTGTGTGTGTGTGTGTGTGTGTGTGTGTGTGTGTGTGTGTGTGTGTGTGTGTGTGTGTGTGTGTGTGTTTGTGTGTGTGTTTGTGTGTGTGTGTGTTCAGCCAACACTGCAGTAATTGCAGTTAGTGTTACACTCTCAACATGCAGGGTGGAGAGCTAAGGTGGTATTTACACGTGGGCAGCTTGAGATTTTCTCATGCAGCTCCTTGACACGCCCGTTTGTGGCGCTTACTTTAGGATGATCTGCAAGGGAGACACACAAAGACAGGGAGGAACATTTCAAGAGACGTTCTACCCAGCACAGGAGCGCATTTTCTTGAGAATCATCCTGATCCATATTTGTATTTTTGCCGATCTATGTATGGCCTTGGAGCCGGATCCAATCACTCAAGGTCACCACAAGGGGGCGGGGGGAGTATCCCTTATGGAAGGCATTGAACAATTGGCAAGCACCACGTATAGCGGAACTGACACAATTTATCAAGCCACATGCAGAGCGTGGCTCTTGGTCTCCTATTTGCAAAACGATAAATAAAGATGGTAAACTCAATATCTTTTTGAGGACTTGGCTGCCCATCAAGGTTCCTGACGTAAAATATACACGGTGCACAAACTCAGTCTGCCATTTTACTGCTTGAGGTCATTCTGTCTATCGTCTTCACAAATGCAGAAAGGCTTTGATGTAAAAGAAAACAATATAACTGCCACAAATGAAGTCCACAAAAAAAAAAAAAAGATAATCTTTGATTGGAAGATAACCGATTCCATGCACGATCATTTATGGGTCATCGCTGAACTGGGGACACTTTCTGCTGCGCCCACCGCCCATCAAATCTCAAATATTCCATGTATAAAATACAGGCACATCCACTTCATGTGTAAAATAGATTTGTCCCGAGAGAAACTGGAACCCCTCCTTCTTGATGACCAACTCATTTATCAAAGCTAACGGGAGCAATATGTTTGGAATCTGCTATTTCATTCTCTCTTTGTTTGTTTCTTTCTTTAAAGTCAGATTACATTCAAATCTTGCCAGCGGGTTTAAGACTCTAAATGCCCCGTATGACTGGAAGGGATTTAGTCATTAATATTTGTGAAAGATGTTTTTAGGTACCTGATTATCTGCAACAGTGTTGCGCCAGGCACATCAAAAATATTTCGTATGACAAATTAAATACTGTATCTCATTTAAAATGTAGGGTGGATGGGCGAGCTGGAGAAATCTAATTATAACATGATGCTCATGATGATCTTTCAAAGATATTGGTGCCTAAATCATCCTCCAATCCTCGAATAACCGTTCAGGTGCAATGACGCAGAAAAAAAACAAAAACAAAAAAGGACCGTCGTGAAAATCCATCCAAATGGGGGCTGTTGTTGTGAGTGACAGAAGGGGGCGCTGCAGTATAATTTGTCAACTGACCTGTTGTAGTAAAAGTTACACGGTTACAGTAGATGTGGGCCAGCTCAGTCTAGCCTTGACTACCAGTGTTTGGATTCCAATTTCTGTCCAGCCCTTTTTTTCGAGTTAACTCTTTCTTTCTGCTTGAATGTTTTTCTTCCTGGCTTCCTGTGACAACCTCGAAACGTGCATGTTTTGTTTGCTGCAGACTGGTGGATCTGCATGCTACTGTTAAGTGTTGTCTGTCTTATGTGTTGACTGGTGATCAGCTCAGGGTGCACCAAACTCTCACCCTAAAGTGCAGTTTTTCACTCTTCACGTTAAGACTTACAGGTGATTACCGTGCATGCATAATGGTGCTTTTTAACCTGCAACAAGGACACATGAAAGGAGTGAAACCAGTATGTCCTGAATGGTACTGTACGTACAGTATGAGAATGTGCTAACTGCGTGTGTTTGCATAGTGCACAAGCAATGCAGGGGACCCCCAACCCCCACTGCGCTCCCCCACTGCTGCAAGATGGAGGGACGTAAAGTATTTGACATGATGTGGGAACTTCAAAAAAAAACAAACATGCATAACAGAACCAGGAAGTGGTGCAACATAACACAACTACTACATTGCAAATGTGGGAGCTCTGAAGAAGTACTTGAAGAGAGCGCCTAGAGGGGCTAAGCATTTCTCAGGAAACACGATCGGCCACCCCGGAGGAGGCTCTGCTTGCTCCCTGGGAAAGCCCCACTTGCCTGCGTTCACACCAAACAGGTGGAAGAGACAGATGGGGAGGGGCCTCAGCCGCAGGTTACGTATTTGTAGTTGGAAGGAAAGACTTCTTCAGAGCTCCGGGGACTGATGAAAGAAAGCTTTGAAAAGAGCAAACCTGATTGGCTTGGGCTGTTGCTGCGTAGGGGACACTTGTGGCCGGAGTTGTTGCTGCAGAGACAGTAGCAGGCGTAGCACTGTACATCATTGGAACTTTGTTTTGAGGATGAGAAAAGGCAGAGGGAGAGGGAAGGATTTGGTGCAGTATGACAACCATGGAAACAGGCGTGTCACGTGCATGGTGATGGGTAGCGTTTGTTGATGTTGTTGCAGATGGTGGTGGTAAAGGCGGCGGATGTGACAGTGAGCCAGCAAGCCATCGTTAGGGTGACACCAGCAGATGATGTGCAACCATTCACAATGCAAAGCAACGAGGGAGGAAGAAAAGAAAAAAAAGTGAGGAAAAAAGAAGAGACAAGCAGATTACAAACACAAGTTAGGATCTTCTTTCTTTACACGGAAAATCAATTTGCTGCTTTCCCAAAGACTTCAGCTACAACGAACCAGTGGCCCTTCTGGCCGCAGAGATTTGAATTCATTTCTTCTATTTACACCAAAACAAATACGCCAAAACTGCCCCTCTTCACGCAAATGCAGATTCACTGAGCCTTTACTCATATAATGTGATTTGTTCCAATTTGTTTCCATTCTGCACCGAGAAAGTTATGCAGAATTGTCCCTCTGGCTAGCTGACTTAAATTCCCTCTTCAACAAGTTGTGAAAGAAGTTGTGTCTGTGTTTTAAGAAAAATACATAATGACCATTTGACTTGTGTGGTTTACACTGAGCCTTAATCATCGAACAACATGGGATGATCTTGTGCAGTTATTCCCCGTGGTGAATCTGTGTGTGTGGGTGTGAGAGAGAGAGAGAGAGAGAGAGAGAGAGAGAGAGAGAGAGGGCACATAAACGTTAGGGTCAGAACCTACCAAGACTGCTAGCAGGCGTCATGCACAGGACTGACCCTGGTGTGTTCATGCATAGAAAGAAGAGGGGGTGGGGGTGGGCAGGGGGGCGGACAGGTTAATTGACAGGGAGGGGAGTGACAAAAGATTAGACAAGTTACTGTATTGATGAAAACGAGCGAAGGGGTTCCCGTTGACCAGTTACATTCGTGACAAAATGAGCAGGCAAACATCAGCAAGGCCGAACCTCACCATTTAGCAAAGGCACAGGTGTCAAACTCCAGTCCTCGAGGGCCACCATCCTTCACGTTTTAGATGTTTCCCTTCCCCTCTTCCAACAAATCTGATTCGAATGATCAGGATCGTTATCAGGCTCCTGCAAAGCTGTCCGATGAGCTGGTCATTTTGACTCAGGCGTGTTGGAGGACAAAACATGCAGGACAGGGGACCTCGAGGACTGGAGTTTGACACCTCTCAGCTAAGGTGACTTCACCAGCGCTTTTAAAGTTATTTTAATTTATATCGCTACTGGATTGTTTAACATTGTATTTTTTTAAATTTTTTATATTTTTGCAATTCCCTCCTCACCTGGCTGGAAAAACAGAAGGAAAGTGGGAGGACTATCGAGATGCGCCACGCTTTGGATCTCAACTGCAGCCATACTTGAAAATGAAGATGGTGCTTTCCTTTCACGCAAAATATCACATGAAACTTGATATAGTCTCTGTGATGTCGTGTGCAGATGGGTCACGGCTGTAGAAAAAGCCCAGCCATCTGCAGGCATGAGGACGCTAACCTGATTGCAGATGGCAGACTACAGACTAATGTACTAGCCACAGTTCAGCTGGATCAACAAGGTGGAGGCTAAACAAAGACAATGTCATCTTTGAAGGCCAGAACAGCACCGATCGGGACGGAATGAAGTCTCACTACGCACTTGCGATGACGACACTATCAGTAGCTTCTTTCTCATGGAGTTTCTGCATTAGAGAAGCCCAAATTTATTTACCCAACGCCTCGCAGGGGAAAAAGGGCCAAAGTCAGGGATTCCAAATACTGCGTCAAAGGGGCTAACGCCTGTGTGTCACGAACTCAGCTTTTTCACAAGTTCACAGTACAGTACATGGACTAAAGTCTTGGAACACCCCTTAATTCATGAAGGGATCATTATGGGTTTATTGACCCTCCAGTCCCCCATATGTCTCCATCGTAACTGGTCACGAGAGGATGCCTGTCCGTCTGCACTTACCTGCGGGAAAGAAAGCGGGCTGTTGTAGCTGGGCACTGGCCAGCGCCTGCTGGTAGTGCAAGACACTGGGGTTAAATAGCGAGTTGGCACCGTTGCTCTTCTCCAGTGCCGCTCTCTTTGGTAGTGGCTGAAGGACGCCATGGGGAAAGGCCTGGCCACCGGGGAAACACACGAGCACACACACAAGAGAAGAGCGGTCCATTTACACGTCGAAAGAAATCAACGATGAAAGAGGCAACTCTACAGTTTGACTAGGCTCAGCACATAAAAGGCAAGAATGCAGGAAAAACTACATCAAAAATATTCAGAATATTTGCATAGACAGAAATATCTTATCATTAAACTGGATTTTTTTTTCCTCATTTAATGAATGTATCATGTAAGCTGCAGTTGCCACTGGCGTTCTTAAATACAGTACACTATGAAACTTCCAATTGCATTACAGCGTTTCACAACAAGCAAAAGAGGAAAATTAAACTTTGTGAGTGGCTACAAGTACAATTAAAGAAGCTACATGCAAAGCAAAAGGTGAAAGGTCAAAGTACCAGGTCTACAGTTGCCTCGAGGGGTCGCTTCATTGCTTTGGCAGTCGACTGAGTCTTTAATTAGCAGGCAGCGAGCACATGATGGCAGTGGGCCAATGGGATTCAAGCGTATTAACATACAGGTAACAGCAAGCAGAGGTGCATCATGGGGGGACAGCATTGCATTGTGGATAGGTGAGAAGGAAACAAAACAAAAACAAAAAGAATCTGAATGCAAGTATACCACATACAAAACCATAGACATGCGCATACACCAAAAACCCATTGAGTCTACTTTAAACATTTGCTACTTCTTGAATTGGAAATACATTTGGAAAAACGAGACGATGTTTTATGTCATTTCTACCGGGCAAAGAACTTAGTAGCGAGACTTACTACAACTTTTGTCAGAAACAAAAAGCATCCGGATAAACGAGATAAACCGAACTAGGAGCTCTTCTCCAAACTGGATGATGTGAGGTGGTTGTTTGTTTCAAGCCATCCTGCAGCATGTACTCGATCGTGTCATTTGAGCCGAATTCGACAATTCAATGTGGAGCGCTGTTCATTCTCCAAGATGCTGTACATATTCGGGCGGGAGGATCACAGCTCTATGAAGTAGCAAGACAAAAGTCGTCCATGCAATGATGACACAGCTCAAAGAGATGGAACGCAAAGGTCCGATAGGGGTCCGTGTGGACGCCTTCCTTGGCGTGTTGTGTGCAAATTACATCACCGTACTGTACTGATGCGCTGTGACATGAATAAACAGCGAGGTTAGTGAAGATGGAGGAGATGCCGTGAGATGAGAAGCAAAGGCGGCGGGCAGCACACCGCTGCGTATGAGGGAGCTCTTGGCAAGCAACAAAAAATGTGGCACACTGAAACAGCACCAGAAACAGAACATTGCCCCTTTACTTTCCCCGTTTTAGTCTGTTAATGTGATTTATGGGCAGTGATATTTACAACAGCAAAGCGACAATGGTTTTATGGGTCTCTGCTTGGGCTAGGACAGTGGGCTCAAAAGAAAATTGGATGAAAGGTGCTGACTAAACGAAATCAACCAAGGTTAGGCTCCTCACCTCCAGCACCGCATGTAACCGGGGCTGGATAATATAGAATAAACAAAAGATAAGATGGGGCACCACGTTGTAATGTGAGGGGTGATGAACAGAAACGTGTGTGTGACAAATGGGGATGTTAATGAGTTGAGGGACTGTGCAACTAGTAGAGGATTGCACCAAGGGGTCATCACTTTGCCCCAAGTGGCCTTATGTACTCTACGTTTGGGGTGAGTGGAGCAGCCGCTTGGTACGATCACACAGTTGCCTAGCCGATTATGGCGGACGGACACGGAGAACAAAGCAGCAATGACGCTTGCCAGTGAGCTGGCGTGCCGGGCAGGGAAAAACAGACGGGCGTGGCGTGAGGTGTTAGACAAAGTGTAGCGGCTAACAGGAGCGTTATAGGGGAGCCTGGAGGATGGCGAGGCAACGCTAACACACATAGTCAAGCATGTCCCCTTATTCTGCCAGCATTTCCACCTGTCTGTTGGCCAGTTGAGGGATGCGATGTGACTTTCGCATCCATCCTTGATTTCATTAGCACTGATCTGCTGAGAGCTGAATTCATCAAGAGCAGGGAGTGGTGACGGGAGGGTCGGGGGGTGTTCTAGTTGCTGACTGAAGCAAGGGCGTTGTACAATGAAAATGCTCGGGTAAGAACAGATTGTTCATGCGGTATTATTTTGAAAGGACCTCACTTTGGGAGGACCATTGTTAGTTCGCCGAGTGTACACTGGAACCTGCCGGAATAAGCTTGCGGAGGTGGGTGGGTGCTTGACAGAGTAATAATAAAACAGGGCTCCACATTTAATGGTACTGTGGGGGTGTCACTACGAGCGGCGTGTGTGTGTGTGTGTGTGTGTGTGTGTGTGTGTGTGTGTGTGTGTGTGTGTGTGTGTGTGTGTGTGTGTGTGTGTGTTCAATTTAAAGGAGGTGGTGCATCTGTTACGCTGGGAATGTTATCACATAGAATTCTGTGTAAAAGGCTTCCAATGTTTAGTGCATTTTAGCAATGCTAATAAGGCTATGTTTAAAACAAATCAATAAAAGGAACATAAAAGTATGTGTTGATTCGGGCAGCGTCATTATGATTCTTCAGTGGATGATTTCATAGGTTGTGACTTCCAAAAGTGAAATCCTCTCATAGCACCTTCATCTAAATCCTCGCCAAAATGTAATGAATTTTGATCTAGGTGTTTGTATTTTTTGCATGATCCAACTAATTGTATCCCTCCTTATATTTACTGTTTAATCATGTCAATATTGATTGTGATGAGCATTCAACTGTGATAAGCACTCAAACAAGACCGCTAGCCTACAACTTTTGTGCTGTATTGTAGGGTTGCACGAGATTGGAAAAACATGCAATATGTAATATGGGTGTTGAATTTTGCAATAACAATGGTACTGTGATATTCAACATGTACCTAAAGAAATGAAATTAGTATTATCGCTCCAAAAAAAAAATCATACTTTTCATGCGGCACAAATAGCAGGCTCGATGTATTCTTAGCTAATTGTAATAACTTACAATTAAGGTTATCAAACTAATTCCAATGAAGTTGGGACGTTGTGTCAAACATGAATAAAAACGGAATCATTCAACCAATATATTTATTTGAACATGCTACAAAGACAAGATGTTTAAAGTTCAAAGTGCTAAACTTTATTATTTTTAGCAAATAAGCCTCAACTTTGAATTTTATGGCTGCAACATGTTTCAAAAAAATCTGGGACAGTTGGCAAAAAAGACGGAGAAAGTTGAAGTATGCTCATCAAACACCCGTTTGGAACATCCCACAGGTGAACAGGCTCACTGGGAACAGGTGGGTGATATGATCGGCTACAAAAGAAGCTTCCCTGAATTACTCAGTCATTCATCCAGCAAGCAAAGATGGGGAGATGTTCACTTCTTTGTGAACGTACAATTGCAAAAGGAATTTAGGGATTTCATCATCTACGGTCCATAATATCATCTAAAGGTTCAGAGAATCCTTAGAAATCACTGCATATGCAAGTGGCAAGCCTGAAAACCAAAATTCTATCCCTCAGGTGGCACCGTATCAAAAACCGACATCATTGTGTCAAAGATCTAATCACATGGGCTCAGGAACATTTCTGAAAACCAATGTTACTAAATACAGTTCTGTGCAACATCCATAAGTACGACATAAAACTCTACTATGCAAAGCAAAATCCATTTATCAACAACACCCAATAGCCCAAGCTCATCTAAGCTGGACTGATACCAGGTCGAGTCCACATTTCAAATTGTTTTTGGAGATTGTGGACGTTGTGTGCCCTGGGCCAAAGAGGAAAAGAAGCATCCTGACTGTTATGGATGCAAAGCATCTGTGATAGTATGGAGCTGTGTTAGTACCAATGGCTTGGGAAACTGACACATCCGTAAAAGCACCATTAATGCTACATACAGATTTTGGAGAAAAATATTATGCCATCTTTTTCATGTACACCCCTGCTTATTATACCAAACCACATTTGGCATGTGTTACAACGGCATGGCTTCGTCGTAAAAGACTGCGGGTACTAGACTGGCCTGTCTCCCATTGAAAATGTGCAGCACGTTACGAAAAGCGTAAAATACAACAACGGAGACCCCAGACTGTTGAATAGCTGAAGCTGTACATCCGGCAAGAA